GTAAACGAGCTATTTTATTTCTTTATTTTAATTCACTGATTTTAGAAAGGAAGGGGGAAAGAGAGAGACAGACATTGATTTGTTGTTCTACTTATTTATGCATTCAATGGTTGCTTCTTGTATGTACCCTGATCAGAAGTGAAACTCGAAAACTTGATGTATCAAGGTGATGCTTTAACCAACTGAGCTACCTGGCCAGGGCTTTAAATGAGCCATTTTAGATGTAGGTACCCTAGTCCCACTGGAGTTGTCCCAGGTGACACTACCTGGAGCAATGATAATATGCTCTCACCAAGCCCTGCTCAACATGTGAAATTTATTTTTTTCTAAATATTTTCATTGAAAAATAAATAATATGCATTTCTATTTTTTAGTTTAATCTTTTAAATTTTATCATATTTTGTTGTTCAGTTACAGTTCTCCCCATTTCCCCCCACTACTCTCCCCTGCATTACCCAGTCCCCTCTCACATTCAATCCTGCCTGCATTGTCTTTGTCTATGGGTCCTTCATACACGTGGCTTGGCTTGACCCTTCCTCTGCTTTTCCCCATTACCTCCTGCCCCAAACCTCTGGTAACTGCAAACCTCTGGTAACTGCAGGTTTGTTCCTTATTTCCATGTCTCTGGTTCTATTTTGCTCACTTATTTTTGTTGATTAGGTTCCACTTATAGGTGAGATCACAAGGTATTTGTCTTTTACCGCCTGGCTTACTTCACTTAGCGTAATGCTCTCCAGATCTATCAAAGGGTAAGAGCTCCTTCTTTCTTTCTGCTGTGTAGTACATGTACTACATTTTTGATCCATTCATTTATTGATGAGCACTTAGACTTTCTAGCACTTGGCTATTATAAATAATGCTGCTATGAACATTGGGGTGCATAGGTTCTTTTGAATTGGTGTTCCAAAATTTTTAGTGTATAATACCAGCAGTGGAACTGCTGAGTCAAAAGGCAGTTCCATTTTTAGTTTTTTGAGAAAATTCTATCCTGTTATCCACAGTGGATACGACAGTATTTATTCCCACCAACAGTGTACCAGGGTTCCCTCTTCTCCACAACCTCACCAGGACTTGTTTGTTAATTTATTTATTATGGCTATTTTGACCAGTGTGAGGTGGTATCTCATTGTGGTTTTAATTTGCATCTCTGTGATGGCTAATTATGCTGAGCATCTTTTCATATGTCTCTGGGCCTTTGTATGTCCTCCTTGAAAAAGCATCTGTTCATGTTCTTTGCCCATTTTTAATTGAATTTTTATCTTCCTGTGTGGAGATATGTGAGTTTTTTATATGTTTCGTAGATCAAACCATGTATGAGGTATTATTGGCAAATATATTTTCCCATGTTTGGTTCCCTTTTCAGTTTGCTAATGTTTCCTTTAGACATGGAGAAACTTTTTAATTTGATGTCATCCCATTTGTTTATTCTTTCCTATTTATTCCTTGCTCTAGAGGACATATTGATAAAAATATTGCTGTGTGAAATATCTGAAATTTTCCTGCCTGTCTTCTCATGTAGGACTTTAATGTGTTGTGACTTATATTTAAGCCTTTTATCCACTGAGTTAATTTTTGTGTATGATGTAAGTTGGTGGTTGTGTTTCATTTTTTTTGATGCAACTGTTCAGACTTCCCAACACCACTTGTTGAAGAGGCTATTTTTACTCTATTTTATGTTCCTGCCCCATTAGTTAAATATTAATTAACCATAGAGACATAGGTTTATTTCTGGGCTCTCTATTCTGTTCCACTGATCTATGTATCTGTCCTTATACTAGTACCAGACTGTTTTGATTACCATGGAGTTCTAATACAGTTTTATATCAGGTATTGTGATACCTCCTGCTTGTTCTTTTTTCACAAAATTGCTGAGGCTGTTCTGGGTCATTTATGGTTCCATATAAATTTTTAATTATTTATTCTATGAAATACATCATTGGTATTTTAATTGAGATTGCATTGATTCTATACATTGTTTTGGATAATACAGATATTTTGATGGTGATAATTCTTCTAATCCATGGACATGGTATATGCTTCCATTTATTTGTGTCATCCTTAATTTCTTTCTTCAGTGTTCTGTAGTTTTCTGAGTACAGATCTTTTACATCTTTGGTTAGATTTATTCCTAGGTACTTTATTTTTCTTGTTGCTATAGCACATGAGATTTTTCCCCCTAATTTCTGTTTCTGATATTTCCTTGTTGGTGTACAAGAATGACTTCAATTTCTGAATATTGGCTTTATATCTGTCTATTTTGCCAAATTAACTTATTCAGTCCAGTAGTTTTCTGGTAGAGTCTATGGGGTTTTCTATGTACACTATCATGTCATCTGCAAACAGTGAGAGCTTTACTTCCTCCTTTTCAATTTGGATGCCTTCTATTTATTTTTCTCATCTGATCACTGTGGCTAGATCTTTCAATACTATGTTGAATAGAAGTGGTGAAAATAGACGACACCCTTGGCTTGTTCCTGATCTTAGTGGGGAAGCTTTTAGTTTTTGCCTATTGAGTACGATTTGCTGTAAGTTTCTTGTATGTGGCCTTTCTCATGTTGAGGTACGTTCCCTGTGCTCCCACTTTGCTGACACGACCAAACCACCCCCGTTCTTAATCATCAAAATTAAACGGAAAAAGGCTCACCCAACAGGGTGAAAAGAAAAAAAATATATCCCCTAACTGTAAGAAGAAAACCCATTATCTAATGCTTTTCCAGCATCTATTGATATGATCATATGATTTTTGTCTCTTTTTATGTGATGTGTTATGTTTTTTTTTGATTTACAAATATTGTACCATCCTTGCATTCTTGGAATGAATCCCTCTTGATCATGGTGTATGGTCTTTTTCATGTAAAGCTGGATGCCGTTTGCCAATATTCTGTTGAGGATTTCATTGTCTATGTTCTTTAGCGGTATCGGCCTCTAGCTTTTGTTGTGAGTTTATCTGGTTTGGGGATTAGAATGATGCTGGCCTCATATGAAGAGTTTGAGAGTCTTCTCTCTTCTTGGGTTTTTGGAATAGTTTGAGAAGGATAGGGGTTAGCTCTTCCTTAAATGTTTTGTAAAATTCTTCTGTGAAACCATTCAGTCCAGGGAATTGTGTGCCAGGAGTTTTTTTATTACTGCTTCAATTTCACTAGCTTAGTCTGTTCAGGTTTTCTGCTTCTTCTTGATTCACTTTTGTAAGATCAAATGTTTCTACAAAGTTGTCCATTTCACACAGGTTTTAAAATTTCTTGGCATATAGTCATCTGTAGTAATTTCTTACAATCCTTTGTATTTCTGTGGTATCAGTTGTAATTTTACTCCTTTCATTTCTGATTTTATTTATTTGAGTCCTCTCTCTTTTTTTGTTGATACATTTGGGTAAAGGCTTGTCAATTTTGCTTATCTTTTTAAACAAACAGCTCAGAGATTTATTGATCCTTTGAATTGTTATTTTAGTCTCTATGCCATTTAGTTCTGCTCTGATCTTGATTATTTCCTTTCTTCTACTTACTCTGGGCTTTGTTTGTTGTTGTTCCTCCAGTTCTTTTAACTGTAGGGTTAGGCTGTATATTTGAAATGTTTCTATCTTTTATCGATAGTCCTGTACTGCTCTGAACTTCCCTCTCGGGACTGCCTTCATGGTGTCCCATAGATTTTGGACTATTTTGTGTTCATTTTTACTTGTTCCAGAAGCTTTCAAATTTGTTCCTTGATCTCATTATTAACCCATTCAGTCTCCATGTATTTGAACATTTTCAAGTTTTTTCCTTGAGGTTCGTTTCTAGTTTAAAGCTCTTATGGTCCAATAAAATGCTTGATATGATTTTAATTTTCTTGAATTTGTTGAGGCTTGTTTGTGTTTTATCATGTGATCCCTGAACATGATCCAGGTGCATTCGAAAAGAATGTGTATTTTGCTTCTTTGGGATAAAACTTTCTGTATATATCAGTTAAGTCCATTTGAGCTAGTGTATTGTCCAGTGTCACAAAATCCTTGTTGATATTTCATTTGGAAGATCTGTCCATTGTTGACAGTATGGTGTTAAAATCCCCTACTGTAAATGTATTGCTGTCTGTCTTTCTTGAAGTCCTCCAAAAGTTTCCTTATATATTTGGGTGCTCCTATGTTGGGTACATACATGTTTACAATATTTATGTCTTCTTGATGGATTCTTCCCTTGAGTATTATGAAGCATCCTTCTGTGTCTCTTGTCATGGTCTTTGTTTTGAAGTCTATTTTGTCTGATCTGGCTTTTTTTTCTGTCCTTTTGCTTGGAATATTTTTTCCAACCTTCACTTTCTGTCTGTATAGGTAATTTGTTCTGAGACGGGTCTCTTATAGGCAGCATATGTGCAGGTCCTGTTTTCTTACCCATTCAGCTACCCTATATCTTTTGATTGGAACATTTAATTCATTTACATTTAAGGCTATTATTGATAAGTAATTATTCATTGTCATTTTCCCTTTTGCACCTGTGTTTCTCTCTCTCTCACTCTTTTTCTTTATCTTCTTAAAGCAGTCCCTTTAGCATATATTTCAATGCTTGTTTGGTAAAGGTATATTCTTTTAGCCTTCTTTTGTCTTAAGAGCTCCTTAATCTCCCCTCATTTTAGATGAGAGCCTTGCTGGGTAGAGTAGACTTGGTTGCAGGCCCTTGCTTCTCATTACTTGGAATATTTCTCACCATTCTCTTTTGGCTTCCCTTTTCTGTTTAGAAGTCAGCCCTAGCCCTATCTGAGCTCCCTTGTATGTTATTTCCTGTATCTCACTTGCTGCCTTTAAGATTTTCTCTTTGTCTTTGAATTTTGCCATTTTAATTATGATGTGTCTTGAGTGGGCCTCTTTGGGTTCATCTTGTTTGATACCTTCTGTACTTCCTGGACTTGTATAACTTTTTCTTTAATAAAATTAGAGAAGTTTTCCATCATTACTCTTTCAAACAGTTTTTTCTATCCCCTGTTCCTCTTCTTTTCTTCCTGGTATCCCTGTTATATGGATATTATTACATAAAAATAGAGATCACTTTATGAATTTCCATGTCATCCTTGCACAGGTGCCATGCTGATCTTCTTTGTATGGTTCCAATTTTAGTACATGTGCTGCCAAAGTGAGCACTATATTCACTTTGAAAAATCAAATAACATAAGCTACATAAATAAAAATTGAAATTACACCTATGCTGGTCACACACACCTATTTCCCTCCTAAAATTAATTTCCAGTGATTCATGGATTAGTGTATATCTTTCCAAATAATTTTACATATATGTATGCATTCATATAAGCTCATATATATTCATTTGTAAGTCAAGTTATGTAAAAAGTACTATCTGTATCTTCATATGTACACAGCTATAGTTATATACACATATATATTTGTGTTGATATCTAGCTTGGCCATTTTTATATACCTATAAATATAAATATATTTACCTTATTTGATTAACTTATATTATTTTATCTTATATTTTGTGTTTTATATGTTTCTAAATTAGGGCACATGGGCATTATTAGTAACTTTGAGAATCATCAATGCTGCTCTAAGTCACTTCCTTGTATGCCTACGTAGGCACACACACAGGCACACATATGTTTATACAAATATTTTTGTATGATAGATTTCTACAAGTAGGACTCGTGAGTTGAGTTATTTTAATGTTAAGGGTCAATTGAAATATATTTGACATGTAAATGTTCATTTGATACATTTATATATGTAATATGATTGTCATTGTAGTGATAACATCTCTATCATATTACATAATTATCATTTCTTTTTAGTGGTTGAAATATGTAAGGTCTACGATCCGATCAAGCTTTATTATGTTGTATAATATGACTCAAATGTGGAATCTAAAAATGTCAAACTTGTAAACACAGAGAGTAAGATGGTGGCTTCCGGGGACAGGATGTGGGGGACAGGTCAGGTGCTTGAGAGTACTAACTTTCAGTGAGTAGTAACTTAGCTCTAGAGATCTAATGTACAGCGCAATAAATATAAAAATTTTAACCTTTTACAGTTTAATTAGATACTGTAAGTTGCTATTAATAAAACCCTTACATTACTAAATATTGTAAATCTAAAATCTACTTTTGCCAATATTATAAGCAAAAGTGACATCTCATTGAAATTTCAGCTTGCATATTTCTTATATTTAGTGAGTTATGCATATTTTTTGTATTTTATTGCCTATGTGCATTTCTTTTTCTGTGACTTAGTTATTCCTGAATTTTGCTCAATTCTTAAATTGTCATAATCTTTCTATTAATTTGTAAGAGTTTTTAGACAAATTATGTATGGCAAGTATTTGTCCAATTTGGTTGCTATTTGTTGATTTTTTAATCCTATAACATTTAAAAATTTTCATGTTATCAATGATACTTAGTTTCATCTCTGCCCTATTCTATCATGGCAGTTGAAATGTACTTTCCTTGTTCAAGGAAATGGCAAATTGACTCCATCTCTTTAAAGGGGATATCTTGAAGTTTTGGCAATTATACTGGATCTGAAATATTGGTCTTGACCCTTTTTGAATATACAATCTGCCACAGGTTGCATTTCGAAACTGCTTCTAATAAATAGCAGATAGGTCGGTAGGTAGGTAGACAGAAAGCAGATAAATAGATACAGATTGAAAATGGTAGGAAGCTTAAATTCAAAATAATTTCCCTATGAACCTTGAAGATATTGCTTCATCGTTTCCTCAATTCAGTTTCGATGAAAGAAAATCAGATGCCCCCTAAATTTTTATTCTTTCCTAATTGTAAATAAACTAAGTGTTGTGTGTGCATTTGTGTGTGCTTGCAAGCTTGTACTTTTATCCCCTGTTGGGAACCACCCTGCCCAGTTTCAGAAACTGTAACCCTCCATGGCTAAGGCTGAGTGAGTGACCTTGGGACCCTAAGCCACTAAGGAGACAAAGCTTATCTCCCTGGCAGGGGTGCCTTCTCTACCCCCTTTACTTTACCCTGCTTGGCCTCAAATGTGTGACCAGTTAGCCAGTGATGGGTAAGATTCCTCAAGGGAAGGACAACCTAAGACAGGCATGGTCACAAAGGGGCCTTCAGGGAAGGACTTGGGGAGCTATAGAAAAAGGGGGTGATGGCCCCTCGGCTTTGACATAGCCCGAGTCCTCCTCATTCTGTCTGCAATAAGTCTCCTAATCTCTTGGCTGCCTTACTTCCCCTGCCTGACTTAAGCCTGAAACAATGCTGGAGGTGGGTGCAGCCCTGTGCTGGAAAGGTCGGGTTCCCTAGGGTGATCAGGCCTAAAGAAGAATGCATAAGTCCAGTGAAACCTGCTTTGCTAATACCCTCAATTTAAACGATAAGGGTCCAAGCATGAAGTGGGTTTGTTCCCCAAAGTTTTATGGCCCTTAAACTATCTGACCCTGACTCAGAATAAGCCCTCAGAGTTCTTTGACTGTTATCTACTGTCTAATCATTTCTGCCTGACACTGATCAATGAGCTTTACATATACATGCTGTATTCCTATGCAAATTAAACCCAATAAAAGCTCATTGAGGAACAGGTTCCAGGCCTTTCTCCTTTGCAAGATCATCCATCTTTCCTCCCCAACCAGATCACATCTTGGTAGACTTACTCTCATCTGTGGTGAGGGGGGGGCTGGACCTCTGGGGAGAGCTCCCCCACAATCCCCTGTAGCATTTTTTATAATTTTATCATTATCTTCTTTGTTCTAAAATTTCACTGCATTGACTCTATTCATCTGGTGTTTTGTTTTATCTTGTGGCCACTTTCAGTGTGAAAGTATGTCTTTTTTCAACACTAAAGCATTTTACTCTTTTCACTTACTGCTTTTTGTTTTTGTTTTTGTTTTTTAGTCAACACATACTCAATCCATACCGGGGGACTTCATCCTGGGACCATTCATAGGTCTTCATCCATGTCTTTATGTTTTGTTTTGCATGTTGTATATTTTCCATCTTAATATCAAGATTCTGTTTCTTTAAAAATTGTCCTTTATATAATTGTGGATCTGGAGGCTAAAATTAATTTTAATAACCTCTTTATGTACCAGAATAATCAATAATACTCATCATCTTTGTTGACACTTTCTGTGCTTTAAAAATATTTATACATGATTATGACAAGCTGCCTAACTGTAACTAAAAAATTTTCCCAACAATAATTTATTTTAAAATATTGTGTTTAATTTGGATAAGTAAATAAACATATTGACTATATAAATACCAACCAAAAGGTAACATATTAGAAGATGGGTTGTCTAGTGTGGCTCTAATTCTTTGGCACAATATTTTAGCTCGCTAATTTTATTTTCTGCTTTGATAATTTGGTTACTTTTTTCATAACTGAATTTAATAATTTGATCACTGTTTGTTCTTTCTTTCCATAGTTTATTCTTGTTTTGTTAATGAATGTTTCATTACATTGCCTTTTTCCTTTTCTCAGAGGTTATTGCTTATATTTATTTAAAAGTTTTCTATTTTACCTTTTAACTCTGTTCATTGGAAGATATTTCCTATATATTGCTCATTTGGACCCTTTATTTTATAATGTTGCTTTTTCTCAAAAGTAGGTGATTTTACATTATCTCTTATTATTTTTTTATCCTCACCCAAAGGTATTTTTAATTGTTTTTTTAAGAGGAAGGAAGAGCGAGAAACACTAATTTGAGAGACAAACATTGATTTGGTTGCCTCTTATATGCATTCTGACTGAGGATGGAACCCACAACCTTCTGGTGTAGCCGATGATGATTCCACTAACTTAAAAAATTCATATTTGGGATTCAAGCAGCAACACAAACTGTGCTCTGAAGAGAACAAACAAAGGCAGGGTTTATTAATGCAGAAATTACAAAGTTTGTAACAAAGGAAACTTTTATTGTCCATCTGTGTAACATAGGGTGAGGAGGACTGGGTCAAGTTGGAGTGGTGAGATTACCAAGTGCCAGGATGTGTCCCTTAGCAAGCACAAAAGTCCAAATATTTAAACCTCATAGGTCTTCTGTGCAAATGAGAGGTACTGGCTGGTGAACTAGATTGACTCCTTTCAAGGTGAACAGTACAACTTGTGTGGTTACCATAGTGAGGAGGCAGTAAAGTTCAGGATGTGGTCTTACAGCTGGTCAAAAGTTTATATATAGGGTAATAATAAGCAACCTTTTTGTGATCTCTGGGCTCCATGTTGGTTTCCTTTATATATGTGTGTATGTGTATGTATGTATATATCATATGTATATGATCTATACGTTCCTGATGATATGTTTCCTTTACCATTATAATTCTTTAACAGCTGTTTTTATTAAGCACACTTTTTTTTTTCATTTGCAAGACCAGAAAATTTTTCATTTGCAATTCTGTCATTTTGGTCCAATTTCCACCTTTTATTATGCAATCTTTTAGTAAAACCATTAATATAAGTGTTAGAGCTTTTCATTACACTGACACCCAATTTCCATGTGTGGATTTTTGTCCCCATACCACCAAGCAATTCTTCAACACCAGATGAGTGCTCTTAAAGTTCAGCTCAATTCTAAAACTACCTACCTGGAGATAGATAGCATCAGATCTCTCATGTTAGGGCTACAAGACTGCCATCTACCTGAGAGGCCAATAGCAAGTCCAGGTTGTCAACTGTGCCTGTAAATCAAAGGTTGAAGTGACCCTCTCCTTGGGCGTAATTAATTTGCTAGATCAGCTCACAAGACTATGAGACACTTTCCTTACTAGATCACTGATGTATTATGAAATGACATAATTCAAGAACTGTCATATAGGAGATATGCATAGAACAAGGTATAGGAAAAGGATTTAGGTTTCCAAATCCTCTCCAAGTGCATCACTCTCTTCAAGTCTGCACTTGTTCACCATCTGGAAGGTCTCTGAACCCTGTTCTTTTGTGTTTTGTTGGAGGCTTCATCACTTAGGCATGATTGATTAAATTATCGACCCTTGGTAAACTCAATCGCCAACTCCTCTCCACTTCCTTGCAGGTGGAGGATGGGGGCAAGAGTAGGACTGAGAGGTCTAACTCTCAAATCACATGGTTGGTTCTCCTGGCAACCAGCCACCATTCTTGTGTGCTCTCTAAAATCCACCTCATTAACATAATAAAGATACCTTGAATAT